TTCTGGTAGGACAATGAAAGCATTGCTTAAACACGGCACGGCGACGGCTGAAAACTATCGCTAGAAAGCAAACGCTTTTAGCGAGTGTTCTTTTCGGGCAACACCGAGCCATTCGCCTGTTTTGCCAGGCTTATTCTTCCAAATACGCCCAAAATGCGCCACTGAAGGCGTAAGAACGAAACCAAAAATAAATCCACGGACTGGCATGCTCGCAGGGTGATATACGGATTTGCATTCACACAGTAGGTGCTACAATACCACGCAAGCGTGGCAAGCTAGAAACAACGATGGAAAAAGTGTAGTTATGCCGTGCGAGTATCGAGAAGCGGGTGACGACTCGTATATGAAAATTACGGTATTTCAGTCGCCTCAGGGGAATAGATGTTCATCGTCGGGAGAAAGCATTCCAACCGGATCAACGCTTTGGCGATCGATGGGCATTCAAAGACGACGTACACCGAACACCGTTCATGCGATGGCGTGCATAAAACGAATAATAAATATGACCGCATCTACTCCCTGGTGACTGGGTGACAGACGTAACGTTTTCGTCAGGGCTTCTTCGTGTTTCGTGCAAACGCAACGCAGACGACAAACGAGACAAAAAAAAGAATAACAAATAACAACAACAAAAACATCTACCGTTCGGAAGTCTTCGGCGACCGACGAACGGCCGATCGGCGACGACGACGCCAACTGCACGCAGTAGCCGAGCCTGTCGCCGGCGACCAGGTTCATCTTGACGGGGGACCATTCGACGAGCGCCGAGCTTTCGGTAATGTTCAGCACCTTGGGCGAGCCTACAAACGGTACGCGTTAGCGAACGAGCACCTGGCAACCAACCAACGGCTAAAACAACAACTTTTGATGGCCGGAGGCAGTTGCTTGGTGGTCTGAAAGTGAAACACGTCCGACCAGCTGCCGACACCACCGGTGGACGACACGGACCGCACGCGGAACTTGTACGACGAACATTCGCTGAGGCGCGTCACCTTACACGTCTTGCTGGAACCCTCGTAGACCGGCGAAAACGTGCCGTTCTTGTTCTCCATCTCGACCACGTACGTGAAAGACTCGTTGAACACCGCCGATTTCGGATCAAGCCACTTCAGTTTCAGGTAGCTGTGTGCCGACGTCATCAGCTCCAAGGTCGGCGGCGGCGGAGGTCGCGAATACGTCGCCGCTTTAACAGCGTTACAGAACGGACCACAACCAGCGGCGTTACACGCTTGCATTCGAAACCTGCAAGCATAACAGTGGGACAGTGAGACACAGACAACACAAATATCATCACTGGTCGTTTAAAAAAATCGTTTCTCATGTATACCGACATGGAACCAGTTCGCCACCGTGCTCGACGTCACGTCATCACCTTCCGTACACTTCCATGACACGATACCGTTTATGGTATCCGTTTTTAACTGACCTTATGGTGCGCGTATCTTTCATCAGCCAGCAGTGCTTGATTTTAAATACTTTGTCAGCAACTACATAGTGCAGTCTTTTGATTCCTTTGTC